CATTTATTTATTTTTATTGAAAAGGCAGATTTACAGAGAGAAGGAGAGACAGGAAAGTTTTTCCGTCCACTCAAGCACTCCCCAGTTGGCCGCATTAGCTGGAACTGAGTCAATTTGAAGCCAGGAGACAGGAGCTTCTTCTGGGTCTCCCATGTGCATGTGCAGGATCCCATAGCTTTTAGCCATCCTCCAGTGCTTTCCCAAGTCACAAAAAGGGAGATGTATGGAAAGTGGAGCAGCTGGGACATGAGCCAGTGGCTATATGGGATGCTAACACTTGCAGATGGAGGATTAGCCAGTAGAGCCATCGTGCTGGCTGCTTCAATGAACTTTTGAAAAATAAGCTAATGCCAGCACAGGAAGGAAAAGCTGATACATTTAAGACTGTCAGTGGAGTTCAACGTGAAGATGACCAAGACATAGTTTCTAGAAGAAGATGAGTGCATGAATCTGAATCTCATGTAGGGGCAGAGTTTAGAATTTAGGGTATTCCATCTCTATGGGTCCTTTCAAAAGACTGGAAGGCACCCCCTTCATAGCCGCAGATGCTCGCTGCTTTTCTCAGAGTATGAGAGCTTGGAATAGACTTTTGAATATCAGCCAGTCAGTATGAGGACACCCTTCCCCTAAACTACACTAGCCCCCCATCAGGATGTCTCACCTATGAGATGGCTCACTATGGCAGCAAGCCTTGTTGAATCCCCAGACGGGGACATTCAGCTGGAGGCATATTTAACCTGGGTTTAGTGGGATATGTTTATGGGACTTGCTACAGATTTCTGGTGAGTTATTGGTTCCTGGCTCGGAGAACACTCCTCTCCTACAAACCACAGCAGTACTGGGTCAGATGTGCTGTAATACCACCATATTCTATGGTACCTGCATCAGAAGGTTAGGGCTGAGGAGTGGAGGGCATACAAGGTTAAAAATATGCCAACAGCAATTTGTAGAAAAGTTTCCCTAACTTCAGACACCTAAATGACATTTAAAAAAAAGGACTCTGTTCTCAGCAGTGACCAGTCCAAACGAGTTTCCTTCTGGCAAGAAATCCAGTGCATTAAAGGTGGCTATAAATCCTTTGGCATTCCTACGGTTCAGCAGTGGTACCTATTCCTTCCCTTCAACCTTGGCTGGTCCCATGATTTGTTTTCAGCCACAGGATATGATGGAGTTGATGCTGGGGAACTGCCAGGTGTACAAAGTTTTTTGCCTTTGTTGCACTGTTCATTGTGCACTCCACCTGGCATGCTTTTAGCATCCCAGTTCAGGAATGCAAGCTATGAGAAGGAGAACCAAGGCACTTGGCCAACCACCAGCACAACTGCCAGCCACTTGATCAGTCATTGTGGATGTTCTGGCCAGGTGGCTCTTAGATGTTCATGGTTCCAGTCAACCTACACAGAGTAGATGGTCCACCAGGCTCAGCTCATTCAACTCAAAACCTTGAGATGACAAATAGTATTGTTTTAAATGAAAAATTTCGGAATAAATTTTACTTAGCACTTATTTTAAACTCTCACACACATGATTTTCTTCTCTGATAAAAGTTGGATAAAGTAGAGCTTTGCATATTTACATTTCTCAACTTTTATGTGCTTAAAACATATTTTTCAAAATTTTTATTTGAGAGAGAGTCTTCCCGTGCACAAATCCCCTCCCCAAATGTTCACAACAATGAGGGGAGTGCCAGGACCGGGGCAGGCTTAAGTTATGAGCCAGGACTCAACCCAAGATTTCCAGGTGGGTGGCAGGAATTGAGCCATCACCACTGCTGCCCGAAGTCTGCATTAGCAGGAAGGCGGAAGGTGGAAATGAGCAGAACCAAGTATCGACCCCAGGCGCTTTGATGTGGGTACCTTCACAGTAGGATGAACACCTGCCCGTGTCAACTATTTTAGTCGAAGACAATTCAGTGTTTGGATCAGAAGAAAATGAAAATGAGATACAGGGCCAAGGAGGAGTTTGGTCCAGGCAAGGCAGATTGGATCCTATTCATATTCACAGAGCCAATATGGAGCAAGCAGAGATGTGGAGTTAAAGGTACAAGGCAGATAGAGATACTCTGGTAAGTGCTTGCATGAGACAATGATGGATTGGATTAAGGATGCTACGTAGTACCGGCTAGGTGGTACTTGGCCCAAAGGAAAAGCCACCTCATCCTGTAAGAGTGGTGGAAATAAAATAAACATGGAAGATGTTATTGAGTAAACTATTATAGTAAACTAGAATACTCAAAATTACTTTAATCTGTGGCCAAGCAAAGTTAAGTACATAATATTTCTTGAATGTCTGAATTTAACAGGGAGGGGGAGCTTGCTTTCTCTATTCCTGCAGTGGGTTAAGCAGTTGCTTGGGATGCCACATTCCATAATGGAGTGTGAGTTTGAGTCCTGGCTACTCTGCTTCTAAACTAGCTTCCTACTAGTGCATCCTAGGATGCAGATAGAGTGCCTGGCCCCTGGCTTCATGCTGCCTTTATGACCATTTGAGAAGTGAACCAGCAACAGAAGCTCAATCTCTGCCTCTCTTTTTCCATTCTCTCTTTTCTCCCCCTTTCAAGCAAATAAAAATAGCAAACAAACATTTATAAATATAAAAAAAATGAAAACAGAAGTAAGGAAAAGTGTGGGCAAGTAAGTGCCAGGATGGGTCTCGGCTTAGCTCATGCAATGGATAGTGGGAACAAGGTTTTAGTGAATGTCTAGAGACTCGAGATGCCCCGCGCCCTTGGTTTTAGCAAAAGACCCTTCTCTTGTTTCGACAGCACCTCGAGACCCCGCGGGCCCTGTAGTTGGCAAGAAGCCCAAGGCTCTCCTGGTATTTCCCTCAATCTCAACCTCTTCTGGTGATTTGGGTACTTTCCAGTTACTTGTTCAACCCTTCCCCCTGACTACCCCGGCCAATACCTATCCTGTGGTAGACTTGTGATAGTCTTGTAATAAAAAATTCCAGGATGTGGGGAGGTCACATAAGTCGTGGTGGGCTACATGGTGTCACCTAGCAAAGTACGTGAGAGTTGTACTGATTGGCTAGGCTTATAATATGTAATAGATGCTTATATCCAATAGCAATATTGTTACTACCCTGAAGCTTGTTTTCCTGGACCCTCCCTATATAAGCTTGTGCATGATTGCTAATAAGCAGAGAAGTTCACTGTAACTGTCTCTGATACTTCTCTATTGAGAATGCTGTCACTGCCTCATCTTACCTGGGTGAGTGGTCTACAGCTGAGACCCCTTCGCCCCAGCAAGATAGCATCCTAGAGGTGATAGAATTGCTTCTTAACATTTCTGAAATTATTGAATTGACTTCCATAGAACACCTGTGAAATGTGTTACGTAAGTCATTCTTTCAGAGTGTTTTGCAACAAATTGTCCAGCATAACAAACTTTATATTCACTGAGAAAAATGCAAAACAGATTCGATTTGTAAGAGAAAAAGCTATCTCGAAATTAGCTTGTTTGTTAAAATTTGGCATTTAGTAGAATTTAAGTTATTTTAAATGTATTGGTTTTGATTGGAAATTTTTAGATAACCTTATGTAACTATGATTTATTTTTGACATAATCTTAAATTACTTCTAGAGAGAAACACAAGGGAAATAAGACCCTAATTCTTCATAATTGAATGTGTGAGGATTTACTTATTCAAAGACGAGCTTTGATCACCTACTGTGTGTTCTGTTCTAAATGCTGAGAAAACAGGGATGGACACAGCAGGTGCCCAGGGAGCTTTCAGGTAAGCATGAGAGAACAAACGTAAGCATGTCAGTCATGAAACAAAGTGAAGATGTCAGAGCACTGAGATGAACAGCAATAACAGCCAACGAGGTCAGCTGGGGAGTGATACAAGGTGTGGGTGCCAGCTCTGGCAGGTGCAGTGATTCAGCCTTGACAACACATGGGAGAGAAGCCTTCCTAAACAGCACATATGGGTACAGGATGCCCCAATCCTTCACTCCAACAACATCCAAGTGTTTCAGTACATTTGTACGTGAGTATTTGATGCAGTGCTAGGACACCACTTGAGATGTCTGCATCCCATATTTAAATGCCTGCATCCAAGTCCTAGGTCTGCTTCTGACTCCAACTTCCTGCCAATACGTACCATGGGAGCCAGCATGTGATGGATGGCTCAAGCATCTGGGTCCCTGACAGCCATAAAGGGGACCCAGCCTGAGTTCCCAGCTTCTGGCCTCACCCTGGTACAGCACTAGCTGCTGCAGATATTTAGCAGGTGAGCCAGTAGATGGAAGATCCCTTTTCCTCTCTACCAAATAAGTAGTTTTTTTTTAAAAAAAAAAATAAGATTATTAGAAAACGTGTGATGTTGTAAAAACTATGGATAAAAGGAAAACGGAAATCCAACCAGAAAATACTAAAACAGAGTAGGCATTTAAGTGTACCAAGGGAGAATTATTAGATGTTATTTGATCCTTCTAGCAAAATATAGTGGAGATGAGAATAACTATAATTGAATGTAAAAACCTCATTTATACACTTATATGGAACCACTTGGCACAAGTTAAAACAACGTATTCTGGGGAAAAGAAGTTTGGCAAATTCCTATGATCATGATTAAAAAAAAAAACGAAGTATGAAGCGAGTAGATTTCTTTGTGATGACAGGGTCAGTTTGAGAACTCACCTTCAGTGAAGGTGGCACTTCTTTGCCCGACATGGTTCAAAGGCACTCTCTTACAGAATTATCACTTCTTCCTAACTGTGTTCTGAGGGTCCCCAGTAGCCACAGGCTTGGGGTGACGTTAAGGAATGCATGAGCCAACGCAACAGAGATTCCCACAGGATGGCAACACCATGTGCATCCAGCCAAGAAAAGAGCGAGGTCAACAAGGAGGACCCTGAGCTCCTGCTCTGTGGCTACAGGACAGAGCTGCATGCTCCAGCGGGCAGGATCACGGCTGCGCATCTAGGATGCAGAGAGAGAGCAGGACCCCAACCAGGGTCCACAAAGTCCGAGGAGGGCAAGTCCGGACACTCGTTCCCAGATGGAGCCATTTTATTTCCAAACATGATTCAAAACAGATAACTGACATCCTATCCCCACTCTGGATTTTCAGTTTATAAAATATATTTGCTGCTAAAGTCCTTCATAAAATCTGTCCCTTCCCCCCCCCCAGCTTTGTCATGGGAGGTAAACAAAATATCAAAGGTTAAAAGTTCATGCATAAAATATTGTCTCCATCATGACAGTTACACAATAGCCTTGAAATTTTTACAAATCAATGATCAAACACTAAGATTAATTTATAGTTCTCTATATTGTTCAGCACTTTAAGGTTGTTCTTCATATATTAATGTTCGTATTTCATAGACAACAATGACATTACAAAGAGATTAGCAACATTTTTCATAAAATAGGAAAACAAAACAGTTACAATACTAAAAAGGATCAATCCACAGAGCATAAATTTTTTTATAAGAATAAAAACGCAAAGAACAATAAAACTCAAGTATTTCATCAGAAACAGTGGTTGACCCCCTTTTTTTTCACTCCCTTTCATCTGAGACTCTTAGGAATCTGTAATCATTTGTTTTCCGTAATTACCTGTAATTCCTTTAGAATTCACCTCACAATTCTGGTTAAAAAGTAAGTGTTATCTTAAAGTACTGTGTGCAAATATTAGGCATCGTCTTTTATAAAGGTGCATAAACTCAAAATAAGTCCACCAAAGATGGTGTCAAAAGGAGTAATAGCTTAGGAAGAGAATAGGTGTCAAAGAGTAAGACCCCAAAGTCCAATAAAAATCTCTGATGATGAATGTGCCTGTGCATATGGGATTATGGCCCACTGTAAAACCACTGCGAAGGGTGTCAGTGTGACTGGCCAATCTTTCAGAACGGTTCGGATTTGCAACCAACAGACTGAAAAGATCAGGTGACCAAGCCAGCTGATTTAAGAAGAGGTCCAGGATGGTAAATGACCCGCCTAAGCAAGTTAGCATGCATTACTCGACACACACTCGTCTGTTGTATCAACTTATGATGGATATCACATGCTATTGACTGTTGTAATACATGAAGAAATAGGCCTGGAAATTTTCATTCGCTGTTTCATGGCTGGAAGAGCCATCCTTCGCAGCAATAAAGAGGTTCAGCTTTCTTTCCTGGGGACCTTGTATCCTTCATTCCTCAGCCGCGCTGCTCTCGCCACTCCTGAACAGTAGCATGGAGTGGGAGAGCAGGAAGGGTGGCCGCAAGGAGAGCAGAACGACTCAGCTCTACTCAGAATTGGAGTTTCTAGCCAGGCCAAGGATGTCCCCTCTGCCAGTGACGACTGAGTGTGAAGTGAACCTTTGGCGGCAGCTGGGACTGGGGGCGGGAGGGTGAGCACCGAGGGGAGGAGGTCAGGCACCAGGAACTGATGTGAATCCTTCACCCAGAAGAACATGAGTCGTGGTTCCTCTGACGAAGAGCAGAGTTGTGCAGCGAATGTCTGCACCATGACCATCCCTCACCTGAAATGCTTGGAACCAGATGGGTCACACTTGGCTTTTTTTTTTTTAATTTTGGAATATTTGCATGCACATAATGAGATATCTTGGGGATGGGACCTAAGTCTAAGTAAGAAACTCATTGATGTCTATTATATATATATTTTTGTATGTATAGCATGAAGACAATTTTAGACAACATAATCAGTAATATTGCATATTGCACTTCTGGCAAATTGTCCACTTCTGGCAAAATGTTAGTGCTCAAAGAGTTCAGAATGAAACATTGGATTTTTGGTTTGGGGATTCTTAATCTGTGGAAACTTAATGTGTTTATTTGATGCTATCATATTTTCTAATTATTTTTACTTGTATCTGCATATAAATGTCAAAATATTTATGCCTAAGATATAGTATTATTAATAATTTATTTCTTTCCATAAAATTAAATGTGGGTATAACTCTAAAGTAGGTTTTTTAAATGCTGTTATTTAAACATTTATTTCCAAAAATGTTTAATTCTAGCTATGTATATTAGCCACATAGGTTTACGATAAATAACTTGAAAAAATAAACAGTGTATTATATTATACCAAAATAGCCCCCATTTTAGCCATAGGAGTGAAAAAGTTGAGTTTTTAAGAACAGACTAAATCACCCACAGATATTTTTCATCATTTTACACAAACAGTACATATATTTTCTTCCCTGCCTAAGTCAAATATATACCTACTGCTCTTGGTAATTTAGGTCAAAAGGAGTGTCATGAAATATGAAATTGTTTAACTTGCCTGGTTCTACCTTTCTATAATGAAATATTTAGCCTAAATCTAAGCAAATGTGTTCACAAAAGACATCCTCAAGGAGACGGCATAATCCAAAAACACAACTTCACAACGTGGAAGATACCCTGTGCATGCATGTCTTATTTTCTAATCACAATTGGTAGAAGGTTGCTTTCAAGTATTATTTTAATCCAACTGGACTTAGAGCTAGCTCATAAAATTAACACTCGAGAAGAAGAAAGTCTTTGAGATACTTGTTCTGTCTGGAAAGCTTTGCTCAGGATTCCCACAGAAGCAAAATTTTCCATCCACAAAGACCCAAGGGCGCAGGATCCCAGCACAGACCTGAAAGCGCACGCGCTCACCACTGTCTGCCACCAGGTAAAGCTCATGCAGAGCTCATGTTCTCTCAACACGTCAAAGGGCATTGCATCATCCACAGCTGGAAAATTGCTCCTGAAACACACAGCTTGAGGGAGGCAGGGACAGAAGCGGCTCCCAGCTCCGGGTCTGGTTATCTGCAGAAGTCGGATGCAATAATAAGCACAGAAAGGGCAACCCAGGCTGGGAGCTGAGTATGACATGTTTGCATGTAAGTTACCCCAGTTCGTCCACAGGCAACACAGATGATGAAACTCAGGAGGTCAGAGCGGGCAGGTGGGTGGGAAAAGTCAACAGAAAGGGGGCACATCTTGCCAAAGCAGGTGTGGGGATGGAGACGGACAGAGCCTCCCCTGAGTTCCCCCATCTTCACAGGTTCTGATCCAGCCACTTGATAAAGCTGTTCCTGGTCCGGATGCCCACGGAGAAGTCGGTGGGCCAGCTGGTGAAGATCATGCAGCCGTGGAAACCATCCTCAAAGTGGTCAAGGGTCACATCCACACCGGCACTCTCCAAGCGCTTGGCGTACATGAGTCCGTCGTCTCTCAAGACATCATGCTCACAGGTCAGGATGTAGGTCTTGGGAAGAAGCTGGAGAACTTCCTGGTCAGCAATGAGCGGGGCTGACCGGGCATCCAGCAACTGAGGAATCTCCTGGATGATCCTGGCATTACCCGTCGTGGGCACAACGGGCTTGTAGTGCTTGGTGATGGAGGGGGGCAGGAGGGACGTCCAGTTTAGCCGGGCCCTGAGGGCAGCAGCCTCTTCCACGTCCAAGGACGTGTGATTGTTGACAATCATCGCTTGCACAAAGTCATAGTTGCCTTTGAAGTAGTCCACCCAATACTTGACCATGACGTAGCGGGGCAGGATTGGGGTGTGTGAATTTTGTTGATAAGAGGGTGTGTTGAAATCCAATGCTTGGAGGACCGGATAAATTAAAGCTTGCAGTTTGATCTTAGGTTTCAGGTTGGCATCTTGAACAAACTGGAGAAGAGGAAACGAGAGCATTATTCCAGTTGCTTTGGAGGCTATGGTATGTTTGCCACTCATAGGTTGGGGATAGGGGGTCTTTAATATTTTACCCATACTGTTTGTTGGCACTTAGCACCCCTGGCTGGGTCTTACGAGTGGACCAAACTCGGTCAGAGAGTGAGAATTCAAACAATGCTGCTGTAAGGCACTTTCCACTCTATGCAACAAGCACCAGAAAGCAGCAGAAACGGGCAGCACTCCCTTTGGCCTGCCCGCAGTGTGGGTATACTGCCCCGTTTGGAACTCCAGGATTGAAAATCATCCATTTGTCACTCAACATCTAAAAGGAAGCTAACTAGGTCACAGGGCATCGCCGGCAACTAGACGATGTCCAAGGTAACTTTAGCCTACCAGTTGGCCTTCAGACCTGAACTCCAGAGCCCGTCAGTCTCAGGTAAGCCTTCTGTGCTATGGAGAAGCCCGAGGAAATAGTCAGTAATAGTCACCTGGGCCAGTGCGGCCCACATCCTCCACTGAGTCCTCACAGCTGCCCTGCAATTGATGACATCCTCCTCATTTTCTCAAGGCCCGGAGAGGGTAAGGACTTGCCCGTGGCCCTGTAGTTCTCACAGGTTCAATCCTGGAGTGAATCCCAGTCCTGGCTGGCTCCAGAGTCCAGGAACTGCATCAGGGCTTCCTTCTGATCACTTCTAATGCGATAGCAAACTGGTGAATGTCACATGACAATTAAGTGCTTTATATCCAAGTATGTCACAGATTAACATGCCTGATACCACTCAAGGGAGCCGAGAAAAGATAGAGATAGGAACATTACGGTGCTATGCGTAGGTTAATTCATCTCTAAGAGGAGATTGTTGGGATTGTCATTGAGTTCACATGGGTGCCAAGAACTGTAAGAGTTACTGGACACAGTTCTCAGAGAATTTAACTAGGTAAAACTCAAGTCAACTAGTAGCACAGCACCCAAAATGGCCCACCATTTACTGTGTTTTCTGAGATATCAAAGAGAAATGCGGTAGCACTGGGGAGTGGACAGCATTGTGGTGTAGCAGGTGAAGCCGCTGTCTGTGATGCCTGCATCCTACATGGGTTGCAGTTCAAAGCCCAGCAGCTCCGCTTCCAGTCCAGCTCCTACTAATGGCCTGGGAAAGCAGAAAACGGCCCCCATGTGAAGGACTCAGAAGAAGCTGCTGCTTCCTGCCTTCAGCCTGGCCCAGCCCTGGCTGCTGTGGCCATCTGGGGAGTAAACCAATGGATGGATGGAAGAAATCTTTCTATCTCTTCTCCTCACTCTGTAACTCTGATGTACAAACAGATCTTTAAAAGAGAAAGAGGGAAAAAGAGAAAGTTTGGGAAGCCCTTTCTAGTTTTTAAAGAATTCAGTAAATAATGCGAATTGCTAAGCCAGGAAGAAGAATGGGGACTAAGGGGGCATTCCCAGCCAAGGGGTCAGGGCGGGTACATCAGGTAGCAGTGTGGGCAGGACAACTGTCAGAGTTTTGGGGACTCTTAAGGGAGTGTGAACTCTCTACGTTGTATGGATCGGATTCCAAGGGGCTCCGATCACGCAACGTGGGGCAATGTGAAAGGAGTGCTACTAATGACGTGGGAAATTAGCATCTGGCGCAAAGCTCCATGGGAGCCATCCTAGCAGCAGGAATGAAGCGACAGCAGCTGAGACCAGAGAAGTGGCAGGTACGCTTGAAGGCCAGGCATCTCCCCAGAGGGGCAAGGGGCCCTCCCCCCACCTCCCCCACTAACTGCAGCCAGGGTCTTCAAAAGGTCTGAGACCACACTCCCTTCAACGACCTGACTTCCTGGTTCACAACCACCTCTGAGACTTCTGCTTCTGAGGTCTTCACAGGGATGCGGCAACAGGGGCAGCCCGGACCTGACAACGCCATTGTCACACCCACCGGGCATCATCGCTGCCCCTCCGCAGGACAGTGGCGTTACCTGTTGTCCCAGGGCAGCAGCCAAATTCCCACCAGCGCTGTCACCAGAAATGCCGATTCTGCCCGGATCAACCATGTACTTCTGTAGGACTTCGGGCTGCAGGAAATACTTGGTGGCACGGGCTATGTCATGGATCTGCTCCGGAAAATACACCTTGGGAACCAGCCTGTATCTGCCAAGACCAGAGTTGCATCCATTTGATAATGTCACCACGTTTGTACAGCCATTTAAAGGAGGAAACAAGTTCTTCCACAGAAGGAAACACACCAGAGGGAACCGAAATATCTAGAAAACCATCCATCCTTCTGCAAATCCAATACCTGAAAATGTCATGATGCTGAATGAGCAACATTCTGCTTCTGGCTGTCAAGAAATAGAACCAATTACATCCCATTCATCACCACCAATATATCATGGAAGAACTTCAAAGGAAAAGGCAGAAGTTCCTGGCAGTGACATGAAGACAGCGCTCATAAACTTGAGCTTCTGCCTCTGGAAGTCTGCTGTCCCACTCTCTGAACTTGCTCTCTGGCGTGCAGGCAGCAGGCGCCCAAGGACTCAGCAGTGTTCGTCACTTCTTGGGTAACATCACACGGCATGACTGCATAATCTAGGGGAGGAAAGCTGTTCCCCCTGTGAGGAGACCCATGCCAACTCGCGCCTGGGAGAGCGACATGTCACCACAGGAGGTGAGCCACGCTCCCCAGCTCCCTGCATTCCGTCTCTCACAGGCCTCTGAGACTATCTTCACTACCTCTTTGTGGGTCCTGTGGGATCGCAGTAGTCTGTGCAACTTGTAGAGTTCATCTTGTCTTTAAAGTCTCCGGAAGCCTGACGGCCGTCGGGCCACACTGTTACCCGATGTGTCCATGCTGGCACCCTTAGCCTCCCACTCGCCTCCCTGGCTGAGCTATCACGTCTCCTCACTCAACCCTTACCCAGGTGTGGCCTCCTAGGCAGCCTTCCTCGGCTCCACTTGTTTCTGAGGCTGAGCAGGCCACTCAAAGACAGGCTTGATATTCCTACGTGTTGGGGTACACCGCTGCTCTAAAGGCTGTTCGCCCTCCCTGAGACTGTGCTGTGTACATGGCTGTGTTTCCAAGTATCGACCAATACGCTGCCTGGCCCACAGTCACGCACGCAATGTTGTTGTTGTTGTTGCTGTTTGAATGCTAGTGCACCTTCATTCTGCAAATGAAGAAACTGAAACACAGGAAAGTGACGTTCCCTGTCAACAAAGCTGAACTCGCTCCTAAAGAAAGAAGGATGGGAACAGTGAAAAATCAAGGAACGCTCGTTTAAGACTTAAATCTTTACAAGATGTTTATGCAGAGTCAGAAAGTTGCCGCCCACTGGTTCACGCTGCAGAGGCCTAGCTGCGGCGAGCCCAGGGCTGACCTGAAGGCCCGCAGGACACGAAGCTGGGAGACACTCAATCCACACGGCTGGCAGGAACCCACGGCTTGGGCCATTACCTCTGCAGCCCACCACCATCAGCAGGGACCTGGAATGCTGAGGTGGGGGTCAGGAATTCAGCCCGGCATTCCCAGCGGGGACCTGAGCATCCCTCCTGCCAGGCTTGTCTGTGGCCCCAGAAGATTCCAACATTTTAATTTCCACTTTATAATTACCTCATTTATTTTCAGAAACTAATTTTTTCAGCTCCTCTAAGTCCATTTATCTTCCCCATTTAAAATCCACCTAGCTAATTAACTATCTTGGTATTCACTGTTATCACAATCAAATGGATACATATTTGTGAAATACTTCATTAAGTGGTAAATATGGAGATGATCACTCAGGAATTCTATTTCGAAAACAAATTGCAATAAGAAACTTTGTTAGTGACTGCCTTATGCAAGATAAAATTCTCTAATTCCTTTCCATGTTCTATAAATGTTTACCAATTAATCATCCAAAATGTTTTTCTCAGTTGATTTCACTGTATGCTCATTTCATTCACTGTGCGCAGATAGTGTAGTGCATGATGTTCTCCACTAGGGGGCGGTATCTCACAAGATTCTACATGACCCTCGCTCTTAGGGAAGAATTCAAAATTTTAACTGCAGCATTATCAAACTGAATTCTTAATTTTAATCAAAACAAATGTATTCATCCTCATGAATAGATTAACGGAGATAAAGGCTACTGTACTCCAGCAATTTCCCATATATCTAGCTGCCCAGATCAGAACATCTTCCTACCACATATATACAACCATATGAATCAAATAAGTTTTTCAGGTGCTGTTTCAGCAACAGTTTCAAGGACTTTGGATCAAAGAAAATGGGCAACCTAAAAGAGCATGGCACTGCTTAATCCTGCCAATTAGTAACTGGCTCAGAGAACAGAGTCAACACTCAAGAAAACCGGCAGCTTGGTAACACTGCCATCCTAACCCCTCCCCTCGTCATTTCCCAAACGGAAACTTTGTTCAGTTGCTTTTCCCAGACAGAGACAGTTTTGTGGACTTGAACACATACTCGAACCAGATGATGCTGGGGTTCCAGGTAGCTTGCAATGTACCTATCAATAGGATTAGCTTTTGAAATCTTTTCACAGATCTGGGCAGTGTGGGTCCCTGGTGGCGAGGTCAAGGCAAGCACACAGGAAAACGTTTGCTGCCCCCGACTTGTATTCAGAGCCACATCCCGAGATGCACTGCGCCAGTTGTGCCTTAACCCATGATGTCACAGCACCAGCATCCCATCTGGGCCCCGGCTCAAGTCCTGGCTGCTCCACTTTCCATCCAGCTTTCTGCTAATACTCCTGGAAAAGCAATGAGGCTGGCACAAGTGTTTGGGCCCCTGCACCCACATGGGAGACCCAGAAGAAGCTCCTGGCTCCTGGCTTCAGGCCAACTCAACTCCCAGCTGTTGCAGCCTTTGAAGAGTAGAAGATCTTTCTTCTCTGTGTGTGTGTAACTCTGCCTTTCAAATAAATACATACATCTTCAAAAAAAAAAAAAAAGACATTTAGAAATATGTGTACTTTGCCCCAGCTTATGTCAGAAGAGGCGCCAGGGCAGATCCCTGCCTGGTCTCACCACAGCTCACAGGCTCCAGGCACAGGTGCCGCAGGCTCGGGCCTGGGGCCACACCAACTGAACCACTGTGTGAGGATGACCAATTTGCTGCTAGGTGAGATGTTTCACCAAGTGTTCCACAAACATGGTTTATTCAGGTCTCAGAGCAAACCAGTGGGGCTGAGGACAAGACTGGGGCTGGGGGTTGAGGGAGGGTGCCAACTGGCCTGCAACAACTAGGAAGTGGCAGAGTTGGGATCCGAACTCAAAGCGCTTCAGAAAGCTTCCCTTACCCCTCTTTAAACTAGTTCTCCTTCTTCAAAACACAAAGCTTTTTAGCACACACACACACACAGCAACTTCCAAAAGCTGGTGGAAAAACAGAATTAAAAGATAGTTATTTTGATGTAAAAAAATGTAAATCTATACATATATATATAGTTTAAATATATAAACTATATTTTAGTAATGATATAGAGGAACTAGGTGGGGGGGAGGGAATTGGGAAGGGGATAAGGGAAATACCAGGAGCCTATAGAACTGTATCATAAAATAATAATAATAATAATAATAAAATTTGTTAAAAAGAAAAAAATACATATAAACTATTTAAACTATTCCATTTAAACTATTCCATTTCTTTGAAAGGCAGATTAACAAAGAGGAAGAGAACAAGAGAGAGGAGGAGGTGAGAAAAGGGGGTGAGGGAGAGATCGTCCACCTGCTGGTGTACTCCCCACATGACTGCAGTAGCCATGCCTGGGCCAGGTCCAGCACAAGAACCTGAAACTCCATCGGCTCTCCCCGTGTGGCCAGGGATCAGAGATTTCCGGGTCCAGCCACACACTCATTTTCCTCAGGGAGAAAGCATACCTACGGGCCCAGCACGACGGCTCAGTTGGCTAATCCTCCGTTCACAAGGGCCGGGATCTCATATGGGCTCCGGTTCATGTCCCGACTGCTCCACTTCCCATCCAGCTCCCTGCTTGTGGCCCGAGAGAGCAGTGGAAAATGATCCAAATCTTTGAGACCCTGCACTCACGTGGGAGACCTGGAAGAAGCTCCTGGCTCCTGGCTTTGAATTGGCTTAGCTCTGGCCATTGTGGCCACTTGGGGAGTGGAACTAATAGATGGAGGATCTTTCTGTCTCTCCTCTCTGTAAGTCTGCCTTTCCAATAAAAATAAGTAAATTTTAAAAAGTATAATTATGTCACAAAGAAATGCAATGCACATCTACCTGAAAGAAACAGCCCCAGCCCCAGGGCCTAATGCTTTGTCACCAGGACCCGTGGAGATGGGGCCACGCTCAGGCGGACTGAAGGCCAGGGCAGACACCAAGCAATTCTGGAGTGGAGGGGCCAGCTGAGCTGCCCCAGCTCACCGAAGCAGAAGTCCTGAGTGACACGAGCATCCTCAGAGGCCAGGAAGGAGGCCTCTCCCCGAGAAAAGCTAACTTGGGAGCCGTGCCTGCCACGTACTGCCATGGAAGAGGGTGGTGTGCTCACGTGGTGCCAGTGAGGTGAGAAGCAAGCAGAGCGCTGGGATGAACTCACATCCCTGTTACACTCAGCCAGACAGCAGATCTCACAGCATTGCTCCTCTGCCCTGCTGCCATCTTCCAAGAAAAGGTCAATGCATTTATCTTGAGAGCATAACAATATGAAATTCCCTATTCCTCCAACCTCCACTCCCAGACCCATCTTGGAAAACCCACCTCATCAGGAGGGGATCCAAAAGCAACCAGTAATTCAACCAACATTCTTGACTGAGGTCGATGATTCTATGGAAAGAATCTACTTGATGCCCCCAAAGAAACTTCCTTTCCTTGAAAATAAATGAAGGGGGGAAAGGGGGTGGCATGGTGGCTCAATTGGTTCATCCTCTGTCTAGGAGCACCGGCATCCCGTAAGGTGCTGATCTGTGTCCCAGTTGCTCTACTTCCTATCCAGCTCCCTGCTTATGAATTGGGCAAGCCATGAGATGATGGCTCAAAGCCTTGGGGCTCGGCATCCCTGTGGGAGACCTGGAGGAAGCTCTTGGCGTCACATCAGCTCAGCTCTGGCCACGGTGACCACTGGGGAAGTGAACCAGCAGATGGGTGACCTCTTTCTCTGTCTCTTTCTCTCTCTGGAAAATCTGCCTTTCAA